GAGAGAGAGAGACAGATAGAGAGAAACTGACAGAGAGAGGGAAAGCGTGTTACTTACACTTGCAAAAGGCAGTTTTCCACAGGCCAGCTGAAGAAAGAACGAGACAGAAAATGAATAAACTCCAGTGAAGTTTGCTTAAACCAAACATTATTGATCCAAAAACGAAGGTAAAATGAAATACTCTATAATCTACAATTATTTTTTTTCTATTTGAGCAACCTCTTTAGTTTTAGTAAGTGTTTTACGGCACTTGCAACACAATAAGGTCATATAAGTACCGAAGTGGTGTTACAAGAGAGTGACAAACACAAAAAAGAAGGAGGGGAGATAAGGACGATAGATGTTTGATAGGAAAGAAGAAGCAAACCACACCAGAGCACCCGACAACCACCCACTGAGTAACCTCTCTAAACAGAAAACCCGGTTAAACTGAAGAGACATGTCCTTGAGAAAAACCCAATAACAATGGCTTTAAAACAGGGCACTGCACAAAGGCGACCAGCAAAGGCGTGCCGTTTGGACGTTTTCCCGTGACATTGCTTATTATGATGCGATGTTGCTCAATTTGTCGTTATATTATATATCAACGGATTTGTGTTCTAACCACGTAACTGGACATAAAAAAAGACAACTTTTTTTCACTTAAAAGCCATTGCTGAGGTCGATATGCAGATCGCTAATACAAATCAGGAGTCATCAAACCCTAGAAATAGTATAAAAGTACGGTGGGTTAACTCTGTGTTGCCTTTCAACATGTAAATCAAAAGAGTCACTTTTTGATGAGTTAAAAAAAACCCCAAAAAATTGTTATACAGTTAGGGTTTAGACACCATTAATACATGTATGAATATATTTATGTACGTATGTACGCCATTGTATACCACATTTCTCAGCAAGGAAGGATAAAGTAGTAGTTAACTGTATTCTTTTTTAAAACACTTTGCAGTCACACACAGCCGGCAGTACAAAATACCCCATCTGGTCACCCAGCCAAGAGAGTGACTGCAATGGACTTCTCGGGCCTGTCGCAGAAGTGCATCAAGCGACTGGAACTGATAATTTTCGCTGTCGCACTATTGCAGCATGTGACCGCAAAGTGTTAAACCATAAGTGAGGCAGCGTGGTGAAATCAGGCGCTCGTCAAAATAATGAAATCAAAGAAATTGGTATTTTTCAGTCCGTTTGGCAATTTTTATCAAATGTTTGTTTTTTGACTCAACATGTTTAAGGTCCTTTTAAAAACACATTTCTGTGTGGATTTCACTGAAAAATGTTGATCTAAGGCACAAAAAAATATAAATTTGCAGTTTTTAAGGACTCTCAAGCTTTGGAAGTTACCAAACTTTGGCGGTCATTTCTCGCTAATTTTACCTCTGAAACCAAGCGACCCCCACCTCCTTCAATCGCAAATTTCTCTACATCTATTCGTGATAAATGAGTATTTATCTCACCAAAAGCAAGACAAATGGACAAGCTTTAAAATGATACCAATAACTCCACATGTCCAAAAATTGACGAGCGCCTGATTCCACCACGTCGTGACACATATATCTATTTATTCAACCAAGGGCACTCTAAGCGCCACATCTCCGACACAGTGGGACTCACCTCAAACAAAGTCACCCCAAAACTCCACACTTCTGCTGGCTTCCCATAATCGTGACCTTGAACTCTCTCCGGCTGTGGACAGCAATCAAGAGGTCACTTGTCAGTCCAGAGGTCAGACTTGTAAGGTTAACTTAAACTGAGAACTTATCGCTAATATAAATTGGACAAATGCAGTTTTTGGGACATTTGAAATGACACGAAGGCCTTGAAATCACGTGAAAAGTACTGTCCATCTCCATCACCACATGAAAAACAGCTATTGAAAGACACAAAAACACCCACATCATTTTTCACTTTACAATATCTCTGAGCCAAACTGTAAGAGAAGGAGAAGGTTTTTAGTTTTCTATTTTAGTAAGAGTTTTACAGCATTTACAACACAAATAAGTCATATAAGTGCTGAAGTTTAAAGTTGTCCCTCAAGAGTAACAAAGAAAAATAATAAAAACGATAGATGTTTGATAGAAAAAAAGGAGCAAATCACATCAGGGCACCCGCCAACCACCCAATAAGGATAAGGTGAAAGGTCAACTCACAGCCATATATACGTTGGTACCAAGGAATGTGGTGGCGATGGATTTCACGAGCTGAAAAAAACAAATCAAAATGAACCTCTTCACAATCTCTAGAAACGGGAAATGAAAGTCAATAATAACAACAATAAGAACCATAACAATAATGATAAAAATAATTTGTTAAAACAACAATAATAATAATAATAAAATGAATGATAATGAAGAATAACAAAATAATAACAACAATATCAATAAAAGTAATAAATAATACTAATAACAATAATAATAACAATAGTAAATTAAATTTACATACCAATTACAATTATTGACAAAAGTGACACTTGCACTGTCTATTCATGCACTTGAAGGGGATATTTTTCAGTAACGTACTTAAGTCACACTAGGGTAGTTTTGAAGAAAAAGGCCAAAAACTGTTTCTCGTTAATATACGATTGCAGTGGGAAAGGCGAGCTAAAACAGAGGACACAGCTCTGAAAATCAAAGATACAGTCTCCATAGAAGGCCGAGAGGGTGCAGTCCCCTTTCTTTTATCACCCTATGCAAAAATCTCGATTTTTAGCAAAAATGGACTTAAGTACTTTATTCAATTGTAAAATGCTTTTTATATTCAAGTTGAAACAATGCTGTACTATTTACGAGGCAGGCTGTTTGACCCTACATATCACTCAGGGTCAACCCCATTAAGTGAGGTA